ATTTGCTTGGCTCAGTAAAGTATTTAAACAAAGACTTATACAAGTATGCTTGCTAAAATCTGCTGATATTAAGAGGTAATTCAGTAAAATTTATATTTAAGTGTTTCATTGGCACAGATGTTTGAGAACTGTGAAAAATAAACTACACAAAGCACTTCTTCTAAGCCTGGATATTTCTTACCAGGATCTGTTTTTCTTTTTATTCTTTCTAAACAAAGTTGCTGTTGATAATAATTAATACACAGACTTGAGTACTGCAGACAATAACTTTTCCTCCTGCTTTCCAGATACAGGGCCTAGCAGTATAAACAGATTTTTTCCTTTAGCACCCAACCTAACCTCTGTGACTTTGATCATAGAGCCAGGAGACAAAGTGGTCATAGTGGTGCTAAACAAAGGAGAATCACATCTAGCTTTGACTTGCCCTAAAACTTTACTTGGGGCAAAAAAATGACAGATTTGTAATGGCTCAAATGAGGCTCGAGGGAGCTTTTATTTCTTTTCATATCTTATCCACTAGCTGCCCTTGATAACACAATGTGTCTCTCTGATAAAAAAATGTTTAAATAAAAGTACAGCTATTGTGGATTGCTGTTGCACTAATCCAATTTCTTTCTGGCCTGTTTTAGGTTTATCCCACCACAATGCGAGCGCTGGGGATGGGGACAAGTGGGTCACTGTGCCGTGTGGGAGCAATGGTGGCTCCATTTATATCACAAGTAAGAGCACGCTTGATAATGTTGGTAAACATTGTGCTGCACACTGCCATCAAATACAGAGAGATGTCCCTGAAATTCATCCAAAAAAAGGGAAGGATGTAATCCATTCCCTCCCAAGCCCATAGAGTACTTGGGTGGCCTTTGCCAGCTGTAGCACTGAGTAACTCATCACAGAACTCGGCTCACTAGCATTTGATACTTTCAGAAAGCTCTTAAGGTTCACAAGATACTCTTTTCTATTGTGGAGTCTCTCAGGCATTTGTGACCCTTTGTCCATCTTAATTGCTAATTAAGTGCCTGTCCCCCACAGCAGCGAGCTCCTGTTTGATGTTCTTTGGCCTGCAGGTTCTTATGAGCGCTTCTTTCACGGGGGCCTTGTGTCTCTTCTCCTCTGTGTGCATCATCTGTGCCATCTCTGCAGTCACACTGCCCATCGAGACCAAGGGCAGGGCTCTGCAGGTGAAAGACCAAGCCAGGCTGCCAGCCCCAGCCACCTCATGTAAGTGTGTGAGCTTTAGCTTGTGCAAGCCCCTCTCTACATCTATCTCCAAGCCTGACTTAAAGGTGCAGCTTCCCAGGCACATGCTCTGCTCTGCCAGGAGAGAGGACAGCAGATGTACAGAGCACCTAAACTATCAAAGTTATTTCTTAATCAAATTCAAGGCAAGAGCCTCACCTTCATCTACCAGCTAAAACCTTATGGTCAGTGTTTTCTATACAGCAATCAGCCAAAGCACTAAGCCCAAAGATTAAGGGGCAAGGTTTAAATTTAGCAGTCTCCCATGGGCAAGTCACACCAGTTTAATTAGAGGAGGTGGTGAGCAGTCCTGTGATTTCAATAAATTCATCTATAACAGCATGGAGATTTTTGTGGGATGATCACACCACTCTGCATCCTGACCTGTATAGACCACAGGCTAAGAATAATCCATATTCTTTAGCAGCCTACAGCATGACAGATCAAACTAGGTTTATGAGGGCTTCCAAACCAGACATTTAAAAACCCATTCCTACAAACACAGGGCTTGCTTGTCACAAATACCCAAACACGTTAATTTCCACTGTATCCTGTTGGGTTTTATGTGAATTTTATTAATTTTATGTCTTATTTTTCCCCCTTTTTAGCAAGTAAAATGAGACCGAATGTTTGATATTGGATTGGGTAGAAAAGAAAAAGAAACCCCTGGAATCTGTTGCTTCCTGTGAGCTGCATTTGATGTTGATTGCTTCTTCATACTGTTTCCATTATTAAAAAATAAAAAAATACAACTGAACAGTGTAAGAGCTATGATTTGTGTAGACAAATGGTAAATTCCTCAAGGACCTTTCCTATGATTCTATAAACATAGGTTTTCTACCCTTCCTGTGAGAAGACTTTTTACTTCTAGTGCTATCAGTAGTGACACTGCATACATAATATTAAAAAAAAATAGGAAAATCATTAGGTGAATTGAGCTAAAGGGAAAAAATACACAAAGCAGATACAGCTAGAAAGGATATAGTACTTTCCTCAATTCTTTGTGCAAGTTCCATCTGCATGGAAGTAGTAAAATTTGGATCTCAAACCACACTGCAGTGATGATTTCTGACCATTGTTATGGTGATATTTAAGAACACAAAATGAAAGGTGAGTCAGATTTTTTTCAAGTGGATTATTTAGACAGAGTGATTTCCAAGCAGTTTACAGCAGACAGGTAAGTAACTGGACACAGAGTACATCCACTCTTCTCTCCTCAGCATTTTCCACTGGGAGAACAACTTGAGTGTGAAGTTGGATCTTTAAGACTTCAAGTGTTGGGGTGGCAGCACCTCTTTATTTTTTTAACTCTCTGCTACTGTAGTATGCACCAATCACACCTATGTTGCTAGAATGGTTTCCCTCACTATTTTGTTCTGCTCCTTAACTTCTCTTTACTGTTTTCTGTTTTCTGGTACTCTGGGATGGTCTCACAAGCAAATCTCTTCAGGTAGTAAAAACTTTCCATAAAAAAACTACACAAACAACAATGTCAACAGCAATATCAAAAAGCAAACAAATGAAAAAGGCTCTGGGCAGCCTAAAAATCCACCACATGACCAGAAGTCATGTCAAAGGCCTGCTGCAAACACAACTGAGTATTTTTCTATATTTTAGCATGCAGTGCCACCCTATGACAAAGACAGGTAGGCAAGATCTCCCTCAGCAGGTGAGAGGCAAAACCAGGCCTTTTTCTCATTACACACACACACAGCAGAGAGGGACAGAGACTCTTCAGTGCTCTGTGCACAGCCCCACACCAGGGCTACGCCACTGGCCAAAAGCAGGAGGGAATGTGCAGGAAATGGTCAAAATGTCAAACCAGGGACACACAGAGGAGCAGAAATCAAAGACAAAACTGCTCCTTGTATCAGCTCAGTCACCTCAACAAACATCAGCCTAAGTCTTTGCAAGAGACTGGACAGTCAGAGGTGTTGGAGTCTGGAATACAGAGCGTGTGCCCTTGTTTCTGATACTTAGTTATAAGATCTAGAAAAATACTGAATTTCATATAATATGAAATTCATGAGCATGTTTTCATGGTGATATATGAAGACAGCTGTTAAAGTTAGATAGAAAAAGCTAAAAGTATGAGTGTGTAGATTAGAAAGTTTTTTTAATCACTGGGTGAAAAAGCTAGTTTAGAGAACAGGAGACAAGATGGAGTATTTAGGGTGTTGTCTCTTGTCCCTTGTCCCTTCTTTCTTCTTCATGTTCTTCTCCTAGAGGTTTTTGGGTAATAGTAAGTGATTGGATAGAAAATGCTGCAGTGCATCACAGAGGTGATGGGTCATTGGGTCATAAAGAAAAATAATACACGTGTCTATTTTTAATTGGGCAAAAATAGGTATAAAGATAAAAGAACTGCGTAATTCAGGGCCATTTTGTGCATCAGACACAAAGTATGCCACAAGGCCTTGTTTGTACCATCAGAAGAAAGAAATGTACCAGATTGCAAAGATTAACCTTGTAACCAGCCCGGAGAGACCTGTTAAGTTTTGTGATCACCTGTTAATAAACACGAGAAGCAAGATTTTAACGAGCTCGGGAGTTTTCTTCGAATTATAAGAACTGAGATAAGCAGGGCTCCCCACGAGGAAGGATCCCAAAAGAATTCAGTCCAAAGGAGGCTGAGAAATCCAAGAATAAAAATAAAAATACAGAAGAGATGTAGCAGAAACAGAGAAACAGAAAAAGGATTTTTTTTTTAGAGAAAAGTTACAAGAGGAACATGAGAATTTTTTGTATTGGAGTCAAACAAGGTCTAATCTACAAATGAATTGTTGTTAGAGGTGTCACAAGTTGGCTCTCAGTTAAATCAGTGCCTTTGAAAGTAATTTGAACACAGAAAAGCTTGCCTTATTTTGAAAGTCCTAGTGAGGAAGGATATTGTTGCTTCTGCCTCTGGCAGGGTTGAGAACCCCACTGGTTCCACGAATGAAAGCAACAGGGTAGGAGTTTTGTAGGTCCCTTGGCAAATTGCTGACAAGGAAAAGTCCCCACCAAAGTCTTGTCTGTGGCACCTGCAGCTGCCCTGGCCACTGAAATGCTCCAGATCCAGTGGTATTTGAGGTGAGCTGTGGCAGAATGGAGGAGCAAACACTTGGGATTGATTTACTGCAAGAACTGGGCTTCAGTAGCAGCAATCAGCTGAGCCGTGGTGAGAAACCTCTCCAGTTTGTGCTTCCATTCATCTCCTCCTGCCCTGGGCTCCTGGCACTGCTGCCATGGGAGACAGGCTCCCTGCTCCCACCAAAATGCAAAGCATTGGAAATGAAGAGATGAAACATTAATGTGGAATGGGAAGTGGGAACAGCTGCCTGCAGCAGGTGACCCAGTGGAGGGGAACTTCCTGGGACTCTGCAGCCACGTGGGGGAGAACATGGCCAGGCTCCACCATGGAGACACAGCTTTGATCAACTCTGGGCTCCTGCCAGGAGATTAGCTGCTCCTTCTGATCCTGAACAGGCCCAAATTATGTGTATTTGCTTCTCAAGGAAAAGGCTGGAGCTTGGTGTCCTGCATGAAGGTTGTTTTCAGTCTCTGAGGTTTCCTTATTAATGACTGCCCAGGAAGGAGCCTGTAGATGTGTTTGCTGGACACAACCAGCAGGGCTCGTTACCCTCCTGAAGCCAAGTGATCCTTAGGGCCCCTTCCCACTCAAACCATTCCACGATTCCAGGATGATTCCATGATCTCTCTCTCTGCATTTATTTTGAATAATTTCCTTTCAAATTTGAATTCCCAAATTTAAACGATTTTTTAAAATAAATAATCTAAAATTATTCCAGGGAAATAAAGGGGGTGGGGGTCATCAAACATACAACAATCATTTCTACACCCATCAAAGCATTATTAACTGGAAGTCTATTCCCTCACCTCTGTCCTTTGTTTCCTTTCCTGGAAAACCTTATGATCCCACAGTTTCTCTGAGATACCTACTGAGATTACTGGAAGGTTTGCTCTGTCACAGAGCCAGGAGGGTTTAAAACACTTGTTCCTCTGTATCTTTATCATTTAACCAGCTTTCCCCTGGAATGATGCTGTAGGAGAAGTCTGGAATTACTAGAAATGGATCAGGTTCACCTTTTTTCCTCATTTTTTTCCACCTACTTCCGAATTCTTGGAGTTTTCCTCAAATGAGCCTAGAAAACTACCGTAGAAACATAATTCAGAGGAACATCTTGAAAAGAGACAACAACATCCAACAGTAGCCAAAACAGTCACATTGCTATTCTTACCTGGTCTCCAGGTGCTTCTGCCAGAGATCCCAACATCCATTGTCATTCCATAGAGGTGAGGAGGCAGTTTTGGATGTGTTCTTTGCCATGGGATGGGATAACAGAGTCCAGAAGGTCTTTGTGGTCCCTTTCAAGCCAAACCACACCATGATTCCATATGATCAGCGTCTATCCCAATTCCATTCCAGAAATCCCAATTCCACTCCTGCCGTTAACCCAAAACTTCCCCTCTTCTTCTTGCTCCACATTAGGGATGTATTGCCAAGTGCCACAGATGTGGGATGCCTCAGCATTCCCTGGGGATGCAGTTCAAGGCTGACCTTGTGGCCTCACTGCTCTAAAATGCCCAGATGGCCCCAATTCCCAGGCAGCAATGCCTCAAACAGCAGTGTGGGGTGTTCCCTCTCCTATCCCACCACTGGGACAGCTCACATAGAATGTGACTGACTTACTGGGTGTGGAATTCCTGGCTTAAAAAGCAGGTGCTGGAATATCTTTCTCCTGGGAATATTCAGAACACCAGGAGACTCCCTGGAAGCCACGGGTCAGGGGCAGAGTCAGATGAACAATCCTGAACTTGTTTTCAGGGGATGCATCCACAGCATGTGGCTGCAACAACTTCAAAGTTGCTCTTTCCCTTTGGGACATCCAGGAAAAATATCCCAATCATGGATCTCTGACAGGAAAAACCTCAGCTCCTCCAAAATCCAGGCCAGCACTCCCCCGGGCTCTAAAGAATAAACAACAGGAAAGATCATCTCAGCACACACCACAGGCTGGGAATCACATTCCTCACTGGGACTGGGGTGTTCCCACAGCTCTGTGACAGTCAGAAGCATCCCCGTTTCCTCACTCTTCCATTCAGGAGAAAGAGACAACAGAGCCCTTGAACACCCAGTGTGTAATCCGAACAATCCAGGGAATGGATTCAGCCCACCTCTCTCTGGGGAAAGACATAATGCCCAGTTCTGGAAAAACACAAAGAGCAGTACCAGAAACATTTCCAGGTACTCCAGAAATGCAGCTCACAGGCTTCTTCCCATGGAAACCCTGACCTCGCCTGGGACTGGGCTCAGGGAGAAAACCCCACCTGTTCTGCAGCCTGGCACAGAGCGTATTCCATGGACATCCCAGGAGGGTGTCCCTGACCGTGACAGGGGGTTGGAACAGGACTATCTGCAAGGTCCTTTCCAACACAGATCATTTCAGGAGTTTAAGGTGGATTTGAGCCATTTCACAGCTTGCAGTTCCTCCCCAAGCCACATCCTCTGGGCTGCCTTTCCCATTTCCCACTGGGAAGCAGTGGCTCCTCTCCCTAAACAGCCAGTTGCCATGCCCTGCCCAAAACCCACCAGATGACACAAGTGGTTGATCCACTCTCTTATCTGTTTTCCATACTCCAGCACTTCACTGACTCCACAGTCAGACAACCAGGATAAAACCCAGGTTATAGGTACTGGCACAAAGCAGCTGCTGCACTGGAAGGGACAATTTTGGTGGCTCCTCTCCTCTTAGCTGGGAATTCAGTGCTGCCAAGAGCCTGGCAGTGATAATGGATTTAACCTTTCCTATGGATTAATCCTCAACATTCACTACCAAGTGCTGCTGGAGCAGCTCTCCAGGGAAAAACTCTTCCCAGTTTCCTAGGCTGGATGGGAAGCTGCTACTGACAAGCTGGATCTCAGAAAAACTTCAGTAATTTGCTGAAAGCTTCTAAAACATGGACTTATTTCCAAGTCTAAGGCAACTCAAATCCTATGGCTCGACAGTATTCTTAATAAAGTCTTGCAAAAATGTGTTTGTGCGTAGGAATTTTTCCTTAACCCAGTTTCAGGCAAGAGTTGCCTGAGATTTCAGTTCAAGTTTTAGCCAACCTGTGACACATCAGACAGAAAAAACTATTTAATCACTCCTTTTCCCCAGACCCAACATGTTGGCTTGTGTGGGAAATGGTCAGGAAGTGCAGAAACAAGTTCAATCCCACCTTCAAACAATTCCCAAGGACTTGATGACCCTCTGATGAAACCCTGGCTTGGGACAAGGCTCTCCTGCCTGTGGCATTGATCAGGGAGAGTGCAGAGGCTCAGTTCAGCAGCCCCTGCCCCGCTCCCTGTCCTGCACAGGACCCCCAGGCAGCAGGATCAGGGGGTTTGGTGTGGCTGCAGCCCCACATTAGACCAACAGGTGTAGGTGTCTGGGCACCAACAATGGCCCTTTTATGGGAAACAATACTCATTCTCCCAGTGTCTTGGGGTGAGCTCAGAGGTAGCATCTAGGGCTCCAAGGGCAGCCAGACTCCTAGCTGCTGACAGCTTTGTTCTGGGAGAAATCGTGCGACATTCACACTTTTAGTGGGCTGGGTTGGCTGGTTCTCAGAATCACAGCAGTGGCAGCAGCTCCCTCTTACTGTTCCTAAACCAAACTCTTCAGATAAATCCAGAGAAGGAAGACTGTGTTGCCACTACTTAGGCAGGGCCCTCTTTGCACAAATTACTGCAGTTAGATTAAAAGAATTGTAAACAAGTCTTTAAGAAAAAATGCTCAAACATCTCATTCGCTCCTTTTCTGCTAATAACAAAGTCAAAGCTGATGCTCTAAAGTAATTAAACAGCATTAGAAAATCTAGCATGTAGGGGTATTTTACCACACAAAATACTTCTTGCTCCATGGATGCATTAGCAGTGATCACAACTCAGAGTTAAGCTCTCACAGAAGTGCATACAGCAGCCTCGAGGGTGCAGCTACCTCCTGCTCCCAGCAGGCTTGGGAAACTACTCATGGGAAGTTGGGTGGTTTGGATGGTTTTTTTTAAGAAAAAGAGATATTCTGTCTTTTTAGGAAAAGGGACCATGTGGGAACAAATAAAGTCCTCTAAACTCAAAGGAACAATGCATTGGAGTAAGGTTATGGACAATTGTTCACTGATATCAAGCTCTCTCCCCCAAACAAACAATGCTGGAAAACTGGTAACAATAGATCAGGAGAAGGCTGAACAGCTTTTTTACCTGTCTTCAGTGACTGCCTCTCTTCCCCCCATTCTCAAGTGGATGGACACCAGGATGGGGACTGGGAAAGCAAAGAGTTTTTACCCTGAAGAAGTACAAATCAGGTTTGCTTGACTCAGAGGGCCACACCTCTAGAAACAGAAAGAAAAGAGAGCAGTGGTTATTGATGAGCTGATTGGAATGACTTCCTAAGTCCCACACATGGGAGAGTGAGTATTTCCCATGGCTGCAACACTCTGGTGCAATGCTTTCCAGAAACATGGAGGTTTCCATCACTCTTCCCAGAAAAATCTGGTATTCCAGACCTTGCACCTGGGTATTCCAACAAAATGCCAAACCTGCTTTTCCAGTACAATTCATTATACCCCTGGATCTCCTGGGCAGCCAGTTCAAGGGAAACACACCAGCCCTGTGACTGGAAAACACAGTATTTCATATTCTCTTGTATAGGTAAGAAACAGTCATGGATTTTGTTTAGTTCTCCAGGGATTGCTTCTCCAGTGTTTCACGTGGCAGTCCATAACTTCTGAGCTCATCATCTGATGGATGATGTGCTTGGAGAGAAATGAACCTGAAAGCTCTGTATAGAACTTCGGCACTTTTCATCACATGTCATCTCACAGACACTGCTGCATCTTAAAATCCTTTGTATTCCTTTTTATGCAGAAAGTTTCCAAAGGATTCAACTTTCTGAAGCCATAACAAGCACTGCAGAATAACCAGTGTTTCAGGGGCCCACTGCATTGCAGTTACATTGCAGTTACATTTCATACTTGACCAGGAAAAAAGGCCAACAAATTTGTTACCATTTCTTATTAATATCCACATTATATTTTTCTAACTAATTATCCTACTGGCAGCACTTCACTGCAACATTTCAGATCATGTACCAAGATACCTGATTTTTATCAAATCAAAGAGGGTAATTGAACTGTCCCCCAAAAAAACTCTGCAGAAAAATAAAAAATACCTTAGAGCAACGAGTATTGCAATGGTGAAAATTATGCCAGTCCCAAACAGTTGTGTAGCCTGTACAGGATATTCCTACTTCATACACAGGATTTCATGTGATCTGTGGAGGCAGAGCTATTGTCCTGTTAAAGACTGCAGTTTGGTGAGAAGGAGAGGTAGCAACTACTAAGTGCTGTATTAGAATCACCATATAAAATATAGCCAAAGTGTTGTTACAACCCCAAACTGCTTTCAGTGGGGTGAACCTGCAAGACAGAGGATTTCATCTTAGCACAATACATGGGGTATTTCAGAGTCTCTCAGAAGAAAAGCTGTGAAACATTTTGTCTGCCTCAGAGGAAAAACTTCCAAGAAGCTGTGAAGAAAGACAAAATACCCTCCCCCAAGGGTGAGAGAGATGGTTAGAGACAGATTTTCTCAGTGTCAGTATAAAAAGTGTGCTAATCTAAAGCAAGACTGCCCCAAATTATTCCTCCACAGTCCAGGAGAGAGAGAAACCCCATCCACTGAGGTGTCAGCAGTCAAAAAGATAGCAAAATCTAACTCTAGTCCAGGATTCCTCCCATTATTTCACCAGCTGTTTCAAGAGAATATCTTTCATTACTCATGCTTTTTATGGGGGTCCTTTTTTGTTTTTAGAAGTCTTGTTGAGAGCATGTTTACTTTCAAGGTGGTAAAGGCTGTTTTTGAAATGGCTGCTCTAAATTGTCTAAGGTTGAACAGTATATAGCTTCCTTCTGTCTGAGGGGTGAGCAGCTTTAAGAGGCTCATATTTCTCTTAATGTAGTTGGACAGGCTTTCTTTCAGCAGAAGCAGACTTTTAAAAGTGTTTGCTGCTATATAATCTCATTTTATAATCAGAGATTGCTTCTTAGGAAATACAAAGAAGTAGGCAATCTAGAAGGAAAAGGCTAAAACTCCAGGGTGCAAAAGCATTTAACACCAATACTGGGTATTTGTGAAGTTTCCCTTTGGCACGCTTAACTGAAAGGATGAGAAGCAATGGGCACTAACAGAGGAAATTCCAATGGAACATAAGAAAAAGCTTTTTTACCACAATGGTGGCCAGACACTAGAACAGGATGCCCAAAGTTGTGGAGTCTCCATCCTTGGAGATATTCAAAACCTCATTAGAAACAGCCCTTTACACCCTGCTCCAGGTGACCCTGCCCTGAGCAGGGGTGGGACTGGAGACTTCCAGAGGGGCATTCACACCTAGGTGGCCCTGCAGTGCCAGGGGGATAATGGTCAGCCTGGCCCCAGGCAACCAGACGTCCCACACTCACTCTCAGGGAATTTTCTAAGGCACAGATGGACATTGAGCTTTTCAGAATATTCCTGCAACAGTTGCTAGTCAAGGGTTAAAACCAAAGTTATCCTCAGAACAGCACATTCTGTACTGCCTTGTGTAGGTCTTTTATGCAGCTGTTTTGGCTCATTTAATTCTACCTTCCAGATGAGCCAAAGCTGGAAGTTTGGATGAGTTCTGGATTAGGATGTCTCTGAAGACAAAAAAAAAACCCAAACTCTGAATGCTTTATGTTGCTATTCTGTTGGCCAGTAGAGGGAGAAAAGAGATAGAAAATAGCAAGTCATTCTTGATTCTCTGAGGCTGAGCAGCAGTTCTCTATCATATAGGCACTATTATTTTGTAGCCCTGGGGCCAAACTTCTTCTGTCAGAGCCATTTGAACAGATAAAACCACATGATATTTAGTCATTCTTTTAGCTCTTGTTATCACACTGAACATCCTGCTATGTAGCTAATGTCAAGGGCTGAATCCAGCTGTAATCTGTCCTGGCAGCTGACCTATTACTTTGGAAAACCAGACTCAACACAGTTTTCCATACACCTAGAGCTGCATTTGTTGCATTAAAGATTAAAGATTGCATCTGTGTTTCATTTAAACCTTTTTCCCCCCCTAACAAGAATGTAAAATGATCAAATGTGCCCCAGCCATTCCCAAGGATTTCCTCTGATACAAAGAGAAAGAAAGCACTCTCAGGTGTTTACTTCCAGCAACTATCCCTGGACTGAAAGGGGACAGTGGAGATCACCCCCTCACCCCAAATTTTCATTGCTTTCAACACTTGATGGCAGAGGGAAAGAGCACTGTTCTGAAGCCCAACCACTTGGCAAAGTGAGGACCTCATGAGTGGTTTGCTCCTATGCAATACTGATACAAATTAACCTCACAAAAGCTAAACTTGCAGGGCCTGCTCCAGCATAGTGCATCACTTCTAACAGAGTTGCATCTGTATGCTGCATTTTTTATATAGCAGCAGATTATGTTTCATTTATTGATGAACCAATAAATTGAAAGATATTGATGGACAAATAAGGGAAAATAAGTTACAGTGCAATCTAAAATTAGACCATCCTTGTCTGTGTCCAGTTTCAAATGCAATTATCCACTTGGCTCTGGCCTGATTAAGCCCCGGGGTGAACAGGATCCAGGTTGCACTGCTGCTCTAAAGCTGTTCTGTCATGAAACTGCACAAACTGCCCCAATTGGCCCACTCCAGAACTCCATTTCGGTAGTTTTAATGGAGTTCTGCTCTCAAAACAATATTTCCAGAAGTGCATAAATGGTGTTGAGTCCCAAGTGCAATTTTCAGTGTGGAATGTATGGCACATGAAAGCCACTCAACCAGCCCTCAGTGACACAGAGTCTTCTACATTTAACTTCCTCAGGAACAGCCCTTTGGAAAAATTTTGCTAAGGCTTGAGCCTGACTTTTGATTGAGATATCCGTGAAACTTCTGTCTGGGGTTTGTCACTTGCTATGCACATTTAGTTACTTCTACACAACCTCTTCTAGAGGTGAAAAATGTACACCACCTGCAAGTCTTTCAGCAGAAGAATGGGAAAAGAAGACCTGACAGAGATTCTCTCTCCTTGTTTTGTTATTTTAACGTATCAGATTCCCCCCTGTTGAATTTCATGGAAAATGAAGAAACATGTTTGTGCACAGCTGGAAACTGCAGCACAACCAAGGATGGAGGGTACTCTTCTGAAAGATTAACACAAACCTTACATGAGCACCGAGAGGTGCCCACGCGGTGGCAGCAGAGGAGAAAAGTAAGGAAATGGGTACGGGAAGGTCGAAGACATACATTGGTAACCTGAGCTGGAGCATCTCTCAGCTAAAGGCAAGATTAACTTCAAAATTAGGGCTGTGATCCAGCGTGCGAGCACCTTCCAAACCCAGCTGGAAGACTGAGGTCTCAGCACCACTGCAATAAACAAGCACATCTTCACCTGGCACTTCTTAGGTGTGAAGAAAAGAGGAAAAGCAGATGTCTAAGCTTGCAGAACACCATGCCACCAGCCATAAAAGCACGTTTACTGAGAGGGTGGTGAGGCACTGGAACAGGCTGTCCAGGGAAGCTGTGGATGCCCCATCCCTGGAGGTGTTCCAGGCCAGGCTGAATGGGGTCTCTAGCAACCTGCTCTTTTAGTGGAAGGTGTCCCTGCCCTTGGCAGAGGGGGTGGAACAAGATGGAGTTTTAATGTTTCCAAACCGTTCTAAGGCTGATTTTCCTTCCTGTGCCTCACAGATACTCCCAACACGCAGCAGCACCTGGAAGTCAGGCAGAGATTTCAGCTGCAAACTGCACAGCAAGGGCAGGCAAAGGGCAGCAAGGACTGCCAGAGTTTCCCTCTGTACCCAGAGGTACAAACACAGTGAGGTGTGCAGCCTGACACATATATTAGCAATGTGGCATTTGCCCCTAAGGAACCTCTGCTACTGCTTGTAACTCTGGGAAATAAAAATCCCAACTTCAGGGAAACCTGCAGCTCACTTGCCTTTGGTCAAGTGAGATGGAAGAGCTGATGGAAAAAAAATCTGCAGGGACCTGCTTGGCTTCACAGCCTCATGTGGAGACCACAAGACAAGAGTGGTCTAGACTGAACCTAAACTGTCCAGCATCCTCCACACAATTAGCTGGCACAACAACTATTTCCCAGCTCCTCACCACATGCATGCCCACAGTCCTCTTTCCCAGGAAAGGTCTTACAGCTGTCACAGGTCAGGAATAAAGAAAGATGAGCTTAGTAAAAATGGGTGGACAAGAAAAACCCCTCAAGCAAGTAAATAATGGTTTTCTAGTCTAAGAAATTATGTGGTATAACTGAGTCTGTTGTATCTTTCAAA